CCCAGAGGCACACCATTGCTGCTTGTCCTTCTGTCGCCGCCGCCATCTCTGTTTTTGCTCCCCCGTCCTGAGGCCGGGCCACTTGTCCGGTTTGGGGACTGATCATACACAAAGTTTCGGCAGGATGCAAGTTTGGACTCCAGCGCCCCAACTTTCCGCAGCAAGTCCCCCACAATGTTGAGAGCTGAAATCCGGGCCGCAGGCGTGAGAGGGGTCCCACTGGTGGAGTTGTCTGGACCACGCCTGAATGTTCCCGGAGTGTTTAATCCAGAGCTGAGTCCTCGATGAGTGATAGGAGTGGACGGTACAGAACCTGTGGCCTGCACAGCTGTGTCTGTCCTTTCAGCTTCTGCTGCGCTGGGCATGGGGGTCCTGGGCTTCTCCTGCTTCTGTTGTACAGCCAATTCTTGCCGCAAATCTCTGGCTTCATCCTTTAGTCGCTGAACAGACTCCAGGAGGTTTTCCTTCTCATCAAGTTCACTTTCCAGAAAGGCATTTCTTTCAATGGCTTGATTCAAGCGCTGTTCAAAGTCTTCCAGAGACATGATCGTGGCTCGTTTGGCTCTTTCCAAGTCATCATTTGCTTGCTCCAGCTCCCTGATATATTTCTGCAGTTGATCTTTAATTGCTTTCGTCTGTGCCAGGTCATCTTCCAAAGCTGAGATCTGCCGGTAGCCTTCAGAATGTTGCATTTCAAATTTCTCCTTGATAGTTTCCAGTTCCATGCGAAGGCGGTTATTCTCTGACAAGAGGTCCCGGTTTCTGGTTTCAATTTGTTGCAGCTGTGTCTCTAATTCAGCTTCATATTCTCGGCTTCCCTCCTGGAATTCTCGGAGTTCTTCCTGTGTATTCTCTGCCCTCTGCTTGTAGGTCATTGCTAGATCTTTCCAGTAGTTGGCTTCTTCTTCTTCGGAGCTGAAAGTCTTTCCTGAGTCCTCCATTGTGAAAAGGAGGAAGAATTCACTCCTCTTGTGGCATGATGTCCGGCAGGGTTGGAGAAGACGCGGTGACCGCCGCCGCCTAGGCTGCGTGGCCCCGGCACCCCCTGGTGCCTGATTATAGTAACTGTTTAATGTCTTTTCTTCTTCTATCATCTGTCAAATGTTGCATCTATTTTTATTGATTTTTTTCTCCATTATGGGCAATGTTTTCAGCCTATTTGTTCATGTTTCATTTTGAGACAGGGGCTTACTATATAGTTTAGGCTAGCCTTGAACTCATGGTGACCCTCCTACCTCATCCGCCCAAGTGTTGGGATTACAGGTGTGAACCACCATGCCTGGCCTTTGTTTCTGTTTTTTTCCTGGGGAAAGTACTACACTCTGGTCATGCCTGAAAATCAGTGTTTCATATATCATACCTGTGTATCTATATTAATTATTGAAGATAAAAGGATAAATCCTACTCTTGTTACTTCTTGGTTAGAATAAGTTTTTGTTTTTTAAAAAATGTATCAGTTATTTAATTAGGTTCTTAGTGGGAAATTTAGAACAATAATTTATGAGGATAAATTGCGTTTGTCAGAGCAAAAACGGATCACGGGTAGCCCCGGAGCTGAGGAACAAGTTTTGATTTTTGTTAAAATCTGTGAGTCTGCCGCTTTCTGATCGATCTTGTGCTGCTCTGAAATTTGGTGTCTCTCTTTCTCGGTGTTAAAGATCTCGCCCTCCTGGTGTCTGGGTTTCCATAGCTACTTCTTATTGAAGTAAGCTTCACTGAGGTGTTTGGGGATTTTCACTTTGCTGATAACAATTTTTGTAGAGATGGCAATGACAAATTTCTGGTGTGTTCTTTGTAGAGGAACATGATTAAGGTTAAGAGGCCCAGGTACAAGTAGCAAGCCACTGGGCAACTGCTTCAGGAAGACCACTCTCTTGCCTCTGTGACGCCTGGTGAGGGTGATCAGGATGGTGCCGGGAGTGATGCTAGCTTGAAGTTTCCTCACATGCTGACTGAATGGTTTCTTGCCATGACTCAAGAGCTTTCAGGGCACATCCTCAGCAGGGTAGTATCTAGGCATTTTTCAAAGTTTAACCACCTGGGTACCTCCATTCTTGTTCCCACTGACTGGTTTTGTGATCCTAGCAAGAACTTCTTTTTCTTCTCAACCTTTCATTTAGCAGCTGTGTACTCTGTTGTACAGAGCCTTTCTGGAATACGTAGCAGATTGGGAGTGTCTACCAATTCCTCTAACCAGGACAGGATTTCGGCTGCAGTGGGCCTGCCCCTTCTTGGACTTTTTTGCCTTCTTCACCTTACCCTTTTTACCAGTACCACTGGCCGAAGCCTTCTTGGCTTTGAGTTTCTTCTCTAGTGTCCAGCTTCTCAGTTTTTTCACCTGCCATCTTGCAAGATGGGAAAGAGAGCTCTCTGTTTTTATTTTGAGAAAGGGTTTCACTAAATTATGTTCCACAGGCTAGGCTCAGACTTGTGATCCTTCCATTGTAGCCTCCTGGAATGCTGTGATTGTAGGCATACTCTGCATACTACACCTGACCTAAGATACTTTTTTTTTTCCTATGAATTTTTTTTTTTTTTGTGGGGGAGGGTGATTATTTAGGATACTTTTTTTTTTTTTTAAATTTTGTGGTACTAGGGATCAAACCTGGCACCTTGCACTTGCCAGGCTTATGCTACTGAGCTCCATTCCTGGCCCCAGGACACATTCTTAGACCACATGTTATTTGTCTTAGGTGTTAAGATCCAACTTTTAATTACAAATGTTGCTTTATTTAATAATCTTAGGGTTTTTCTTCCCAGGTTCCAATATTGAAAAATCTGTAAAAGACCTTCAACGCTGTACAGTTTCTCTTGCACGGTATCGAGTTGTGGTGAAAGAAGAGATGGATGCTTCCATTAAGAAAATGAAGCAAGTTTTTGCTGAATTGCAGAGTTGGTAAGTTGCTTTTGATATCATTAGTATAAAATAACTTTATAAGATGGTGAGCCATTCACTAGATCCTTTAATTTCTAGCTCCTAACTGTTGTATGCAATGGGAGAGAATTTAAAAGCCTGTGACACATTTATCCCTCTGCTTAATTCTTTTGGTCCCAGTGTGGTAATGAGTGGTACAGCATACTCACACCACTCTGAAAATGGGCCTGAGGTTAGTATGTTTTGGAAAGGGACAAATAATTAGAGTGCATTGTGTACGATTATCTCAGGATTTTAAACCAAGACTGTAACAAATGACATATTTGAACAAAAGTTATAGAGACCTGTTTTTGATTTATTAACTCCTTTTGTACTTCTTAGTGAACTTCACCCCGTGATCTCTTCTGTGTCTTATTATTAAATTACTGATTTGCTTTAATTTGTATGTTTCTCAAACTGTGCTCTTTAAAGTACTTGTTTCTAGGGGGCCAGGGAGATGGCTCAGTGGAATAAGAGCTTCCCTGGCAAGCGCAAGGGCCTGAGTTCAATTCCCTGGTTCTGCCAAAAAAAAAAAAAAAAAAAAAAAAAGTACTTGTTTCTCTAAATATATTAATAATATCTCCTGTGGGGAAAGCAGTTTAGTAGTTAAAGAAGTTGTTGGGATTTTTTTTTTTTTTAAAGTAGGAAGAATTTACTGAGAAAAAGAAAGCTTCTGTTTGAGAGGGACAGAAGGGTCCCCAGAAGTGGGTTGCCCACAAGCCCTGCTTTGTAAGGGTGTTTTTTTGAGCAAAGCTGTGATATGAGGTGGACTTATGGTGGGACAGAACTATACTCAATCAACAAAACTAAAAGTATTAATCCCTTAGGTAATATCGATCCAATGGCAAATCATAGGATGGGTGTGAAGTGGGGCAAAACTGTGGTCAACCAATAAGATTAAAATAAGTACAGTCAGTAGGGTAGTATTAAATAGGGGTCAGATAGGGAAACAAGTCACATTGCAAGGGGAAGAACAAGGACTTCCCTATTAAGGTTTGGTCCTTCACCCCAAGGTGATTGATGCCTGTGTAGAATATTAATCACTGCCATTTATCCCTAGGGGAAGTATATGGGTGAGTAGTTCTTTTTCTTGAAGCCTGTCCTTCAAGGAATACATCTACAGCCACAGTTGTCTTCTTCATTGAATTCAAGAGCTCAGCCATGTCTGATTGCCTGTGATATTTCTGCCAAACTGAGCTATCTATAATATTCCCCTCTGAAGAAGTATCCCTGACTGCTGTGAGGGGGCAAGGGTTGAAGACTGATCCTGGGTGCTTCAGGCTAAAGAGGGTTGTAGGTGTGATTGGCAGTCAGAGATTCATACACAGCAGATCTATCTAAAGGCCCTCAATAGAGACCAGGTGTTCTATTTGTCTTGGGTATATGTAAAGTTTTAGGTCTGGAGAAGACTAGGCCATAGAAACAGTTAAGCATGCATGGGCTAAATAATTAAATCAACAGGTTAATTATATTTTTAGTTTTTGAAAATTTTTTTGCAGAACCAGAGATTGCAGAACCAAAATTTTTTCTTTATTTTTTTTTTGCAGAACCAAAAATGTATGTACCAGTCAGATAAACTTCCAGCTGGCTTTTTTTTTTTTTTTTTTTCTCGATACCAGGGATTAGCAGGCGCTTATTCTACTGAGTCATCTCCCCGGCCCCCCAACAGGTTAATTATGAATGTAGCCAGCGAAGTTTTTCATCAGAAGGAGCCAGTAATATCTTTCCAGAAAGAGGATAAGGAGAACGTCTAGGAAATTTCAGAATCTGACATTGTGATTAAAAGAGGAAGGTATAGGTACCCGGCTAGCTCAGTTGGTAGAGCATGAGACTCTTAAAAGAGGAAAATATGTACTATGCTATGTTTTGGGGGAGAAATTTATGCTGATGTTTCTAGGATACCAAAGGTGTTTTATCTATTAAATATTAAGGTGTTACATATGTAAAACATATTCTTTTCAGGGAATGTTTGCATTTTATAAGGGCTTTGTTTTTGAAAATAAAGACTTTAGGACCAAATTAATGAAAATGGTAGGAAGACAAGCAGCTGAGTTGATTTAAGTATTTTAGGACTGTCTCCTCTTTTTTTTTTTTTCTTGGTGGACCCCGGGATTGAACTCAGGCCCTTTGCTTGCCAGGCAAGCATTTATTCTGCTGAGCTGTCTCCCTGGTCCCTCCTCTGCTTATTTGAGAGAACTGCCTACATGAGAAAGTGTTTATGTCTGGGGAGACCTGCACATCCTCCCAATTATCTTTTTCCTTGTTGCTAGAATTATGCTCAGCAATGTTTCGTTCACAAGCTGAGTCTAGGCACTGTGTGCAAACAAGAGAGCCAGAAGGAGGAAGTGTTTGGAGGAGTGAATTCATGAAGATGAAATAACACCTCCAGAAAGTTAAATCATAACCAAATAGTACATTTTAGGATAGATAACACGTCTAGTAGCTTGGCATGTCCTGAACCCTGCACTTCACCCTTCCAATTTTATAGCTATGTACTTAATGCCATATCATCTGTATTTGGGGCAGGTGTTGAGCCAGGGTCTTGCTTTGTTCAGGCTACACCTGAACTCAGTCTTCTGAGTGCTGGGAGTATAGGTGTGAGCTACCACACCTAGCTTCTATATTTTTTAACACGTTTTGCTCCTACCTAGTTACTCATTGTAACATTTATTGTTTCTCTCTTCGTACTAGTTGATGCCATTTTTCCATTTTGATATGCTATTTTGTACCTCTGTATTATCTAAATCCATCCAGTTATTCAAGATTCTAAGGGAAGCTCAGACATCTGGAAATTTTAGGTGCTTATGTATCGTCTTTCTGAACACCTGGGAGGAAATGCATGGCTCTTTGCACTGGATTTTTTTTTTTTTTTTTTTTTTTTTTTTTTTCAGAACCGGGGATTGAACTCAGGCCCTTGCACTTGCCAGGCAAGTGCTTATTCTACTGAGCCATCTCCCTGGCCCTGGATTCTTGTATTAGATACTGTTGGCAGATTTGGAAAATCAAGAGCTAAGTATAGTTCATCACAACTTTGCCTTGATAGGTCTCTGAGCCCCCTAGTTGTTCAGTTTAATGATTTCTTAGCCACAGGATAGTTCCATTCAGAATAAACCTGAACCAGGAAACAGTTGTGTGAGAGATTTGTGAATTCTTTCTGACTTGGAATTCAGCCAGAAGGAACCTCCTTCAATGAATGACAAATGAAATGTTTTCCTGCCTGGGAGCTGTGTAGTTAGTATTGATTAGCAGGCGTAACAACAGGGTCAATTTAACTTGGCCATAGACTACCTGCACTTTCATTCTCTCTGGCTGATTGGGTTTTTTAACTACCTTATTTTAACATTCCTTGTACTAGCTACTTCAAGACAAAATTGACAAGTGAACTAACTCTGGCACTAAACCAGAGCTTGGAGCTAATGTCACTTAGAAAGCCATGTTTTTGTGTTGGTTACAATATCAAAAGCAGATACTTCTAACAGATTGGCAGCAATAAGATTACAGTATTCCTGACAGGGCACTAGGGAAATTATTTAGGTGACTCCTTTTTCTTCGATACCAGATCTAAGCTGACCTATACCTGACAGAAGATAAATTTAGTTTTCCAATATATAAAACTAAAAGCCTGTTCTCATTTTCCAGCTTGATATGTTGTTTAATACTTCTTTATCTAAATCCATCCAGTTTTTTAATTATCTCTAGACACCCAAGCTTACCTTTTTTTCTTAGTATTTGTGTGCCTTATATTCTCAGAACTGTTAGTTGACCTAAGTTTAAGATTGTAAAGGAGAAGGGATATGGAGTGGAATGTGAAGCTTGAGTATATAAGCTTCTTTGGGAGGTTGTCATAATGTTTTAGTTTTTAAAAAATGCCAACAGAGGGCTGGAGAGATGGCTCAGTGGTCTAAAGCACCTACTTG